TTTAAACTTAGAACTCAGGAGGCAGAGGCAAGTGGATCTTGATGAGTTTAAGGCCATCCTGGTCTGCATAATTTCAGGTTAGCCACAGCTATATAGTGAGACCCTACCTCAAAAAAATAGAACAAGACAAAATTGTGACACATATATTTCCTTATTGTGTATACCCATATGCCACTTCATGCATGTAGCAATCAGAAGACAAGTTGAGGGAGTAATTTCTTACCTTCAGCATGTGGGTTCCAGGGACAGAATGTTGGTTGTCGCTTGTAGGGTTTCAGTAGATTGGTCTGACAGTAAGAGTTGGGATGAAGGGCCTTAAAGAAGGGAACAATGGGGGCTGGAGAGATGGCTCAGAGGTTAAGAGCACTGCCTGCTCTTCCAAAGGTCCTGAGTTCAATTCCCAGCAACCACATGGTGGCTCACAACCATCTGTAATGAGATCTGGTGCCCTCTTCTGACCTGCAGGCATGTATGTAGGCAGAATACTGAGAATATTGCATGCATAATAAATAAATAAGTCTCTTTTTAAAAAAAGAAGTGAGCGATGTCGAGAACAGAGCAGGACAACATGCTTGTTAAAGACGCACATTTTTGCTAAACGGACTTATAATTCACAAAGACACTGTAGGATGTGTGGCTGGATGTTTTGCCTTGTGACTGAAATTGAACTTGGGGCTTTTGCACATTGCCAGACAAGCGCCCACCACTGAGCTACACAGAAACCAGAGGCTGGCATTAGAAGATGGTAAACACTGTCTGGAGGTAAGACTGGTGCACTCTGGAGTTGGACTGAAAGGTAGAAACTCAGTCCTCAACAAGACTCATTTAGGACTGCAATGTTCTGAATGAGGACAGCGCCCATAGGCTCAGGTGTTTGAATCCTTGGTCCCCAGATTGTGGAACTGGGTAGGAAGGATTAGGGGGTGTGGCCTTGTTGGAGGAGTTGTGTCACTGAGGATGGGCTCCGAGGCTTCAAAAGCCCACAACAGGCCATCTGACCGCCTGTCTCTGTCTCTATGTCTCTTGTAGTGATATTTCATTTGTATTTTAATAAATAAAGCTTCCCTGAAAATTAGAGAGTAAAACAGACACCCTGGTCCGTCTTACAAGCACACACCTTTAATCCCAGTAGCCACACTAGTTTGCCATAGAAACCTTTAATCCCAGAGCTAGAGAGGAATATAAAACGGGAGGAGACAGCTCTCTGTCAGTCTCATCCTGGAGGCAGGATCGCCATTTCAGTCTGAGATAGAGGTAAGAGCCAGTGACTTTGCTCTTCTGATATTCAGGTTGAACCCCAATATCTGTCTCTGGGTTTTTATTAAATGTGCTACAGTCTCTCTTTCTCTGCCTCCTGCATGCAGATTAGGGTGTAACTGCTCCAGTTCCATTTCTACTGCCGCCATGCTCCCCACCATGATGGACTAACCCTCTGAAACTAAGCAAATCCCCAATTCAATGGTTTCTTATGCTTTCTTTTATAGGCTACCTTGGTCATGGTGTCTCCTCACAGCAATAGAACAGTAACTAAGGCAGACTTTTACTAACAAGGAGTGATGTTCATCTAGTGTTCTTTGTGTGTGTGTGTGTGTGTGTGTGTGTGTGTGTGTGTGTGTGTGGTGGGAACCAGAAGTCGATGTCGGGAATCTTCATATAACCATTCGACATAACCTTATTTATCACTGCTCCTGAAGACTGAGATTCTGCTAGACTGACCAGGGAACCTCAGAGAATCCCACTCCTAGCTGCTGCCATGCCTGGCTTTTATGTGGATGTTGGTTATCCCAAACTCAAGTTCTTAAGAGTTATGCAGCAAGTACCCTTTGCAATGAGTTACCACCCAGTCTGTTTTTAAATATGTATGGGAGTATTTTTAGATATTATATACGTGTGCTGGCTAGTTTTATGTTGACTTGACATAAACTAAAGTCATCTGAGAGAAGGCAACCTCAGTTGAGAAAATGTCTCCTTAAGATTAGGCTGTAGATTGGCTGGTTGGTGGGGGTGCACACCTTTAGTCCCAGCACTCGGGAGGCAGAGTGCTGATCTCTGAGTGTGTGGTCAGCCTGGTCTAAAGACTGAGTTCCAGGACAGCCTGGTCTACACAGAGAAACCCTGTCTCACAAAAGAAATGCCTGTAGAGAATTTTCTTGGTTATGATTGATGGGGAAGGGTTCAGTTCATTTTGGGTAGTGCCATCCCTGGGCTGGTGGTTCTGGTTCTGTAAGAAGGCATGCTGAACAAGCCAGTAAGAAACACCCTTCTATGGTCTCTGCATCAGTTCCTGCCTCCAGGTTCCTGTTTGAGTTCCTGTCCTGACTTTCTTGATAAACAGTGATATGAAGATGCAGGCCAAATAAACTATTTCCTTTTCAACTTTCTTTTTGGTCATGGTGTTTTGTTGCAAGAAAAGAAATCCTAACTTATTTGTGTGTGTGTGTGTGTGTGTGTGTACATACAAGATTTTGTGTGTGTGTGTGTGTGTGTGTGTGTGTGCATGTGAATTCAGTGCCTCCAGAGGCCAGAAGGGAACCAGATTGCCTGAAGTTAGAGTTACAGGAGATTGTGAACTATCTGATGGGGGTGATGGGAACTGAATTTGGGTTCTCTGCAAGGGCAATAAGTACTCTCAACCATCAGGTCATCTCTCCAACCCCTTGTTTTGTTGTCTGTTTGTTTGCTTGTTTTCAGAGATGTTCTTACTCTTTAGCCCAGGTTTGCCTCAAACTCACAGCAACCCTGCTTCAGCTTCCCAGGTGCTAAGACTTCGGTGTGACCCACCTCATGGAGGAGGGGTGGTAGCGGCAGCATGGCTGTCTGGACAGTGAGAGGGGCTATGACTCTGCATAGCAGTAGCCATTGGCTTGTTGCTTTTATCAGAAAAATCCCTTGGACCCCAGTGTTAAGTGAGCTGAGAGAACACTGCTCGGTATGGTCAAATATGAAAGTGCACTGTGCCTTTTGACAGAGATGCTGGCTTACACAGAGGCGTGGTGGGTTCAGTTTTCTTCACAAGAACTTCAGAATGCACTCCAGCAGGAACAGCACATCACTGAAGGAGCAAAGCTCCATGCTCAAGCTTAGACGCCAAAGGTTTTTGTTTGTTTGTTTTGGTTTTTTTGAAACAGGATTTCTCTGTGTAGCCTTGGCTGTCCTGAAACTCGGGTTTCAAACCCACAGAGATCTGCCTGCTTCTGTCTCCTGAGTTATGGGATTAAAGGTGCCTGCCACTATGCCTGCCTGGCTGAGGTCAAAGGTTTATGAGGGTGTCAAACATGCGATGAAGAGAAAGCTGTCAGGGGTGAGGAGAGTGCTGTAGATTAACTAAACAGAACTGAACACACACCTTTAATCCCAGCACTTAGGAGAAGCAAACTCATCTACACAGAGCAGGAGCTACACAGAAAGACCCCATCTCAAAAAAGACCAAAATGAAAAAAAAAAAAACCAAAGCAAAATCCACATAACTGAGGGAAAAAATATGCTTTAAACAGAAATCATACTGATAATTAAGAAAGTTTCATAATTTTCATAAAAATTGACACTGAGGCTGACCTAAGGAACTGTGGTGAAGGACAGGGGAGGGACAGAGGGACAGAACATCTCAAAGAAAGCAGAGGTCCTAGCGAGATGGTTCAGTGGTGAAGACCTCACAGAAGACCTGAGTTCAATTCCCAGAACCTACATCGATAGCTGGAGTCCCAGAGGATCCAAAGCCCTCTTCTGATTTCCGTGGGCACAAGATTCTCATGTAGTGCCCAAGCATGCTTGCAGACAAAACACTCACACCTATACAATTAAAAAATGCAGAAATGTAGCTATTAACATGACATCAGGAAGGGAGAAGAAATGCATGACAGATGTTTGTTACTGCTCTTAAATTTACTGTTATCGGTGCCTGACTGTCTGTATGTGCACCACATGGATCTAATGCCCAGAGAGGTCAGAAGACACCATTAGATTCCCTGGAACGAGAGCTGGAGTTAGAGGAAGCTGTCAGCTGTCTGATACAGGTGCTAGGAACCAAACCTGGATCCTGGGTCCTCTGCAAGAACAGCAAGTGTTCTTAACCACTGAGATGTCTGGTATTCTGGTATTTGTGTGTGAGTGTGTGTGTGTGTGTGTGTGTGTGAGAGAGAGAGAGAGAGAGAGAGAGAGAGAGAGAGAGAGAGAGAGAGAACTGGGGTGTGTGTGTGAGAGAGAACTGGGTTGTGTGTGAGTGTGAGAGAGGGGGAATTGGTGTGTGTACGTCTCAGAATGATTCTGCACTGAGTTCTTTCCCTCCACCCGTATGTGGGTTCCAGGAATCAGATAGGTCATCGGGCTTGCACAGCAAGCCACCTCACTGCTTCTGTTCCTAGTCTTTGAAATACCTCCCTCCCTGCATGCACACTTCTCTGCACACTCACATCTGCAAAGCGAGATAGACAGACATAATTTGAGCATTTAAAAAAGCAGTTGACCATTGGCTCCAACACAGAGTTTAGGAGAAATTGATGCCTTCAGTGCTGGCGCTGCTGTGTTTGTGGTCTGTACACTGGGGCACTGGGGCACAATCCCAGTGGCTGGATACACAGGTGTGGGTCAGTGTTGTGTACCAAGTGGACAAGATACTTGCTAGAAGGCTACAATTTTGTACTCTCACCCTTTATGGCAAATAAGGACTTTTGGTACAAAAGTATAGCCAAGCTCTCCTGTGCTACCAACCCCAGCTCTTTTTTGCCTCTTTTTTGCTGTTTTGAGATAGGGTCTCTGTGTGTAGCTCTGGTTGTCCTGGAACTCACGCTGTATACCAGGCTGTCCTCCAACTCACAGAGATCTGCCGCCTCTGCCACCCAAGTGCTGGGATTAAAGGCACACACCTTTAGTTCAAGCACTCCAGAGGCAGAGGCAGGCAGGTCTCTGTGAGTTTGAGGTCAGCCTGGTCTACAGAGCAAGTTCCAGGACAGCCAAGGCTACATTGAGAAACCCTGTCTCTAAAAGTGTGGGGCTGTGGCGGGGAAGATGGCGGACGGGAAGGCGGGAGAGGACAAGCCAGAGAAGCCGCAGCGAGCCGGAGCCGCCGGAGGACCTGAAGAAGAAGCAGAAAAACCTGTGAAAACTAAGACTGTTTCTTCCAGTAATGGAGGGGAAAGTTCCAGTCGCAGCGCTGAAAAGCGATCGGCTGACGAAGAAGCTGCAGACCTCCCAACAAAGCCTACAAAGATCTCCAAGTTTGGATTTGCCATAGGTGGTCAGACGACAAAGAAAGCATCAGCCATCTCCATCAAACTTGGATCAAGTAAGCCTAAGGAAGCGGTTCCAACTCTTGCTCCAAAAACCCTTTCAGGAGCAGCAGCTTTCAATGAGGATGAAGATAGTGAGCCAGAAGAAATGCCTCCAGAAACAAGGATGAGGATGAAGAATATGAGAAGGAACACACCAACATCAGCTGGACCAAACTCCTTTAATAAAGGAAAGCATGGCTTTCCCGATAATCAGAAGCTATGGGAGCGAAATATAAAATCTCATCTTGGAAATGTACATGACCAAGACAATTAAATGAAGTGTTTTGCGATTGGGGTGTGGGTGGGTGCAGTTAGAAGGAACAGTCTCCTTTTGTAAAGAATGGTGTAAGACTAGCTTTGGAGCCATTTTTTCTTTTCCTTTTTCTTCTTTTTATTTTATTTTTTAAGATTGAGTGGTACACTAATAAATGAGAGTTTGAAATTAGAGGTAATTTATGTTTTATATACAGATTTCAAGACCTTTGCTAATTTTGTAGTTTCACGTGATTAGTTTCCAAAGGTTACAGATAATAAAGAAATCAGAAGTGGTACCTTTCTAAGAATTGCATATTTTTTTAGACACAACTATTAGCACATTAAGAGGGAAGCCAAAAGTCACTGTCTACTTGAAACTGAGCAGTTCCTCTCCTGTGTCCACTCCCTCATTACCTGAACTGTCTGGCTACCAGGAACAGCCTTGTAGAGAGGGAGTATTGGATTGAGAAGACAACGTTCCTGGACTATCAACTGAAAGTAAATTTAGATAAAATTAAAATAAATAAACCTTTTCCTATGGACAGTTCATTTTGTTTTGGGTTGTCATATACTAGTATTGCATCGCTATCAGTGAGTATAGACGCTTTGCTCTTTAAAAAACATTTTTTGTCAAAAATTCTTATATGAAGTATTACTAAAAATAGCCCACTTCACTTTAATGGAAATTGTCTCCATTCAGGAGTCTTTTGCTACCAAAGTAAATCAGTATTTTGAATGTGCTTCTCTTGGTTTTTATTCTAGTTCCTATAAGCATTTCCACCAGAACTTGAGGCAAATCATTAGGAAGCTGTTTCCTTTAAAGTAAAAAATCCCACCAAAAATATAAATGTACATACTGCTTTAAGTATTTGACTGGTTTTTATTTTTAAAAGGTTTAAATACCAAAAAAGGGGGGGAAAGATATAACATTGTATGAAGACAGATAAGGCAATGCACTTTCTGTGACTTTTGAAACATTTAAGTTACTAACTCATTAGCTCCAATTTGAATTGAACTCACAAGATTTATTTGTACAACTCCATGACTCACTTTAAGTATATACATATTGGCCAGTGGTTTCAAAAGCACATTTTAATGACTGAAATAAGACAGAAAATGCTTCTTCAAACACATTTTCATTATGAAGTCTCTCAATACTCTTAAATTTGTGTATTGCTGGTGTTTGTATTTTTTATTGTATATAGGCTTTTTTGGTGTGACAGTTAATGCATTTTTAACAGTCACAGACAAAATAAATGATGAGGTTTCCTTGAAAATGACAATGTTGAATTTGGAGGCAGCTTCAGTGGGTTTCATTGGTGGCAGTTATTCACGAGGCATTTTTAATGTAATAACTTCCAAGAAGCAGCCTGCAAATATTCATAACACTTTGTTCACTGTATTTAAGTTTACTTAATAAGCCCCAAGTAAAAACAATGGAAATGTACATAGCACTGTTAGTTCTTATGTGGTTTAAGTATATCAAGATACATAAATTAAAATAAATTTATTTACAAAACTTTTATGTAGGCAAACTGTTCATTTGTCCATTTTACTGTTTGTTGAAATAATATCTCTCCTACATATTTACTTGACTCAAATGACATTAACCTGAGGTCAAGGTGAGGAGAGAGAGAGACGACTGAACTGAATGTCTTTACTAAAATTACAATAAATTTTGTCAAACTTGAAAAAAAACAAAACAAAAAATAAAAAATAAATAAAATAAAAGTGTGTGCCATTGTGCTGGGCGCAGTTTCCAGTTTTTATGAAGTATCTGGAAATCCAAAGATTTGAAATATTTGTATTTATCTTTAATTATGTGTATGTCAGTTTGTGTGTGGGTTTATGCATGAGCTCAGATGCTGCAAAGGTTAGATTCCTTAGAGCTGGAGTTACAGGCGGTTGTGAGCTGCCTGCAGTGAGTTCTGGGAGCTGAGCTCAGGTCCTCTGGAAGAGCAGCATACTCTCTTGACTGCTAAGCCATGTGTCCAGCACTTGAAATAAGATTTTTAAATGTTAGCAACCAATTTAGATAGATTCCTTTTTAAAGAGTGTCTCACTATATGGTCCTGGCTGGCCTAGAACTCACTTTTTAGACCAGGCTGGCCTCAAAATCTGCCTGCTTCTGCCTCCCAAGTGTTGGGATTGAAGATGTGTACCACCATGCCCCACTGAAGTCAGATTATTTAAAAGCTGTGTCAAATACACCACAGCTCTCAGTCAGTGTGTGCCATCTCTGGCACAGCAGGCAAGGGAGCAGGTACCGGAGAATGAGTCCACAGAACAAGCTTACTCTATGGATGCCAGTGGTCAGCAGCAGCTCCAACCCTTCCAGGGCTTCAGCCCCTTGGTAATCCCCTCATTCTACTTTGCTCAGTGAGAACCCACTTAGCAGCAAAACATGGTAGCTTTAATCTCAGCACGTGGGAAGGTAGAGGCACAGACAGAGACACGGGTCATCCTTGAAACAAGAATGCCCCTTTATTGTGTACCAGAGCCGGTTATATATAGATCCTTGACTGATAGCCACGCCCCAGCCAAACCCACCAGAAACCACTCCCCTGCCATCAGGAACTCCTGAGGGTCTCTCTCAGAGCAGCTGCAAACATAACAAGCTGGCATAGTCCCAATGAACCCCTCTCCTCAGAGATCAATACTGTATCTTCCATATTTTAGCATCTCACTGAACTGAAAGATGGGCAGCATGAGCCACTGCTCCTTGAAGGATGCTCTGAGGGCAGGTACCTTCAGTGGTGTATTTCAGCGCAACTCCTGGACCTGTCCGTTACTACTGGCACCCCCAGCTGGTGCCAAACCCCCTCTTTTGTCTTTTTAAAGATCTGCTGAAGAGACGGCTCAGTTTAGAGCACTTGTTGCTCTTTCAGAGGACCTGGTTTCCAACCTTAGCACCTACATAGCGATTCACAACAATCTCAACTCTAGTTCCAGGAGATACAACACCGTTTTCTGACCTCCATGGGCACCAGGCACACACATGGTACAATATATACATCCAGGAAAAACATTCCTACACATAAAGCTAAATAAATCTAATACAAAAAAATTGTGTGTGAGAGGATCTCTTGATATAGTGTTTATAAACCAAGTGCAGCACGCGCAAGGCTCACACTCACGCTGCTGCCGCTGCCTCCTTCCCTCCCTCTTCCTGGGGAGTGAACCCCAGAGCAATGCGCTCTGGAGTCTGGAGACCTTTACAAGCTTCATACGATGCGAGTTTCTAAGGTGGAGAGGGCAGCACACTGGGTCAGCACCTGATTTTATACAGGGCACTTTGCTTTGTGTTATCATTTATTTACTTAAAATTTTCCCTGTATCCTAATTTGTTCTATTTTGAAAGTGTTGGGAATTGAACCCAGGGACTGGCACATACTGAGTAAGCGTATGTAGTAGATAGCAATTTACTATCCTCGTTCTCTCTTGCTCTCTCTTTTTCCTAATATTATGTATGGGTGTTTTGCCTGCATGTATGTCTATGCACCATGTGCATGCCCAGTGCCCTCAGAGGCCAGAAGGTGTCAAATCCTCTGGGACTGGATTTAGAGATGCTATGCATCATGATGCAGGTGCTGGGAACTAAACCTGATATCCCAGATGAGCAGTCTAAGACTGCTCCCTCTTTTTTTCTAAGAATCTTTTCAGCCCTCATAGCAAACAAAGACTTGCTATGCTATAGCAAACTGACTGGCCTCAGACAGTTTCCTGCTGGGAGAACAGGTGTGTGCCACCTTGTCTAGCTCACTGTGATCTTTTATTTTTGAGACAGAGTCTTGATAAACTCCCCAGACCCACCATGATGGCTAATCTTTATTGTCAACTTGACACACCTGGGAAGACGAATCCTCAGTTGAAGAACTGACTCCATCATATTGGCATGTGGCCATTTTTGTGGGGTATTTTCTTCTTTGCTAATTAACTTAGGAGGCCCAGGCCACTGTGTCATCACTAGGCAAGTTAGCCTGGGCTGTATGGAAAAAGATAGTCGGGGGCTGGGGACAGAATGCTTGTCCCGAATCAGTGAGGCCATGAGTTCTATTGCCAGCACCACTAATAAATACACTACCTAGGTAAGTTAAAAAAATTTTTTTTTTCGGGCTGGAGAGATGGCTCAGTGGTTAAGAGCATTGCCTGCTCTTCCAAAGGTCCTGAGTTCAATTCCCGGCAACCACATGGTGGCTCACAACCATCTGTAATGACGTCTGATGCCCTCTTCTGGCCTGCAGACATACACACAGACAGAATATTGTATACATAATAATAAATAGATATTTAAAAAAATTTTTTTTCAAGACAGGGTTTCTCTGTGTAACATTCCTGGTTGTCCTGGAACTCATTCTGTAGACCAGGCTGGCCTCGAACTCAATGAGATCCACCTGCCTGTGTCCCAAGTGCTGGGATCAAAGGTGTGCACCACTACTGTCCAGATAGTTAGTTAAATTAATAAAGGAAGGAAGGAAAGTAGGAGGGAGAGAGGAAAGAAAAGAAGGAAGGAAGAAAGGGGGGAAAAGGTAGCAGTTGGAGAGAGGACTCATTTAATGCTTTTGTAGAAGATTCCTGGCGAAGAACCCAGCACTCACATCAGGTGGCTCACAGCTGCCTGTAACTCCACTTCCAGAGCGTCCAGTGGTCTCTTCTGTGTATGCATATGCACACACTAAATAAAGTTTTTGTTTTTAGGTTTTTCTATTTTGTGTATATGAGTGTATTGTGCGTATGTGCACCCCTTCTGTGCCTGCTGCCCACGGAGGGGGTCAGGTCTCCTGAGACTTAGTGCATGTCTGTGTACCCCTTCTGCGCCTGCTGCCTGTTGAGGTCAAAATTGTGCTTCCGATCTCCTGAAACACCAGGTGGGTGCTGAGAACTGAACCCAGGTCTCCTGAGAGAACAAGTGTGCCTAACCATTGAGCCATCTCTCCAGTTCCTAAAGAGATCTTTAAAACGGTATAAAAATAGTAGCTGAAAGGGAGCCATGATCTGTTGCAGGACTCCTTCCGCTCCTTCAGCCAATAGCCGCTGAGATACCAGCCCATTGGGGTGTGGTCTCTCTAAAAAAAAGCAGCAACTGCCTTCTGCTCTCTCTTTTGCTTTGGGCTCCGCTTCCGGCGACTAGGCTCCTTTCCTGATTGTGCAGAGGGCTGTTGTCTGGGACAGTGATCTGTAAGTTTTTCCCCTTTAAATAAATAACTATTCTATTAATCATAATTCCAAACTGGTGTGGGATTGTTTATGACTTACACCTTCATCTGGCACTCAGGTCGAATCATATACCAGGGTTAGGCAGGGACAGAGAGAACCCTTTACTGACTTTTTA